AGTTTTAAGCCACCGGGTCCAGGATGCGACCCGTGGCTGACTACGTGGGAGTCCAGCAACATAGCCATTATGCTAACTGCCAGTTCCCGACCCCTGTATTTTTTAACTTTGTATTTTTAAGTAATTAGAGATTCATAGAAGTTGTGAATATATATATATATATATTTCCCCCCTCCCACATACAGGAAAATTCCAATATTCTTTACTCAGTCTCCCTCAAGCATCTTATACAACTATAATATACTGTCAAGACAAGGAAATTGATTCTAATTTAATTCATGAAGATTATTCAGAGGGCAGTGATGATAATATAATGTAAAGAATATATTAAAATTGGTACCAACAACTGCCTTAATGGTTACATAGCTGGACTCCCACTCATTGACCATGGTTTGAGCCCTAGACCAGGTGGCTTAAAACTTGAACTGTTGGCCATCACCCCAGGAGGTGATTTTTCTCTTCCTGTCTCTCTGGGGAGCGCACATACTGTATAGCAAAAATCTCTCCCCCACTCCGGCCAAAAAAACAAACAAACAGAAACAACTCACCCTACGTGTTCGTGCATGTGTGCCCAAAATCTTGAGAGGAGAATGGAGGAGAAGGGATTATGGTGTGGTCATCCCACCTGATGTGTAGGGGGATTTCTCACTTTCTTTCTCCCTGTCTCTCTGTTTCTCTGGCAAGTGCATGCACCCTATAGCAAAAATCTCTCTTAAAAAAAAATAAAAAAGGATATATGAAAGTATTATGGATGTCCATATAGCAAAACCTCTTACCACCCTATACTGCAGTGTATTTTATGACAGTAATAATAATTGTTACCAAATATTGTACACTTACCATATCCTTTTTATTTTTTTAAAGATTTTTTTAAAATTTTAACTTTATTTATTTCTCTCTTTTAATCTGACTAGAGAGGGACAGAGAGAGAGAGAGAAAGGGAAAGTGAAAAAGCAAGCCACCAGGTCTGGGACTCTAACTGTGGTCAGCTATGTGGGAGTCCAGAACCCGCAGCTACCACACCACCTGCCGGCCACTACACCTACCGTATCCTACGTCTAGATGTTTTATCTGTATGAAATACTTGATTGTTGTTTTTATTTGTATCTCCACTACTATAAACAGATAACAGTTATTGAGCATTTATGCGACAGCCAGTCTCCTAGGCAGTTTATATATAGTAACTCACTGAATTCTCACAATTCTATGAAGTAAGTAAACTTACTTTACAAATGAGAAAAATTAAAGCACAAGGAGGTTTAGTAATTTGCCCAAGGACACACAGTAGATAGTAGAGCTAGGATTCAAACTGGGCCTGATCTGAGAGCCAGCACTCATAATTACCAGGGAGGTACGTAAACTGGAGTTTATAGTGATCTTTGTCTTTTTTCCTCCCTTCCTTTCTTCCTTCCTTTCTAATTGGCAGAGGGCACGTGTGCTCTCCAGAGATTCAGAGAGAGAGAGGAGAAGTCACCCTCCCCATGGGATACAGTCAGGCTGCAATCTCTCTTCACCATTTTTCCATCCTTTGAGATTTGGGGCACACATGCATTTGTGCCCACTGTGTTTTTCAAGTCTTTGGTACCTGGATTTGAATTGCAATTGACCATGTGACTTTTGGCTCCTTTAATTGCCAGGCTACGAGACCAGCCCCATAGTAACCTTTCAAGATATGTAGTATTGGGTTATCGGAAAAGCCATGAGGCATTTTTGCATAGAAAAATATAGAAAAAAATACATCATGACTTTTATAACAACCCAATATTATTTTCACTTCTGAATGAGGAACCTGAGATTCAGTAAGGCTCAGTAACTTGCCCAAGACCTGTACAGCCAACAAGTGCTGGAGCCCTAGTTTGATTCCAGGTCTGTCTGGCTGCAAAAACCACCGCTGTTTCTAATCTGGCCCATTACACAGATCTGACTGGACCTCCAAAAAGGTCCACTTCTGAAATACCTAGAGGAGTGGTTCTCAAACCAGAATCCATCAGAATCACCCAGGAAGGCTTAAAACCTGACTAGTTATCTCTTTCCCCAGGTTTTTTTGTTTCTGTAAGTCTGAGATTGCCAATCCCTGAAGTTTGGAAGTTTTAACAAGAGCTCAGATGATGCTGATGGTGTTCTGGTTCCCAGAGTATATTTAGAGAACTACGAGATTTGGCCTTACAGAGTTCAGTATAAGGTTATTTTTAGCCTTATGGTAAGGACAGAGTTAACAATAATTAGGCATCACAGTAATAGATCGTATGTCAGGCAACATTTTTAAGTAATGCATATGCAAACTCATGGTTATATATCTTTCAAAAAATGTACCATGTAGTGTTTCAAGCACAGAATTTTTACAAGCCAGTAATATCTATTTCCATATTACTTTCTGAATAAATTTACACAATATTTTCCTGGGTCTCTCTCTGCCTCTAGTTTTTCTCTTGAGTGCTTTTTTTTTTTTTTGAGAGTTTTTTTTTTCATTTATTTATTTATTTATTTATTTATTTTTGCTATAGGTCATGTGCTCTCACCCAAGAGACAGACAGAGACAGAAACTGAGAAATCACCTCCCATGGGGCATGGCCATGCCACAATCTCTCTTCCATTCTCCTCTCGGGATCTTGAGTATGCATACACACCAGCCAGGCATGAATTTAAGCTGCCGGGTCTGGTACTCAAACTGTAGTCAACTACATGGGAATCCAGTGACGGAACCATTACGCCATCTTCTGGTCCCTCTCTTGAGTTTTAAAAACTGTGTGTGTGTGTGTGTGTGTGTGTACGTGTGTACCATCACACACGTATGCTTGTGTGTATGACATTCTTTCCAAAGGCTGGCTCCAATGAGCCTGTGAAGTCTATTCTGAGATCTGTGGTATCTGTTTAAATCGCATACTCTGCCACTGCCTTCCCCACTTCTTTGAAGGCTCAGGCCTGTCCTGGTCCTTGAGTTGATTCCCAAAGAGGCAGAATGTGTCTCCATGAACTGTTCCTATGCTCCTGAATTCAGTCCATTTGCCAGGGATTCTGGTTCCCTTCCACTCGTCTCTTCAGGTCTCTGCCCCAACATGTCCAGTCAGGAGTGGGGACTCTTGTCACATGTGAACTGACCTCCTGGAACCATCTCAGATATCAACAACAAAACAGAAATGCAGAGTTAGCTTCTCTAATTTTAGTCACTGTGGTCAGGGGGATTCCTTCACTATCAAAACACCAACACACAAAAAAATCCTGTTATTTCTTAAAGCTTTCTCATTTCTACTAATGGTCCTATCCCATTTCTTTAGCTGAAAACATCTGATTCATTTTCCTTTTCTCCTGCATCACATGTTCATTCAGTACCAAATTGTACTGAATACATAGGACATCTTTATGGAATGTTCCACACTCGCCTTCTCTCCACTTCCAGTGTCACCATCTTGTGTTTGAGACCTGTAAGAATTATTTCATAGTCGTGTTATCTCAGAGTTGGAAGTCAGCATGA